TTCCTTCAGATGTAAAAGTCAGGGATTTCACAAGGTCAAGTCACTTGCCCAAAAACACAGACAAGGGCAGAATCTTCTTGGGTCTTAAAGGAAACCCTGTTCTCCCTTAGGCCAAAACCGACACTCTTGTCCCACATTTATTCAATTTATATTTGTCAAGTGTGACAATGGCATCATGATTGTGCAGAAAAGCGTTCTTGTTCTTAAGAGATACCCTTGAAATGTGTTGCTAAGTTTAAAGTTATCTTCCCAACGTTTGCATCTTATTTAGGCAAGCTCGGTGCACAGTCAACCAAGGATTTAGCTGGATCTGGTATCAGCTACACACCATGTCTTGATTAAGCTCCTTTCTGCACTATAGAAACGGTTGGTCTGTCAGTTTAACCACTTTCATAGGGATTTGGAATCAAACTCCCGAGCTTGATCAAGATCTTTAAATATTGTGAGGAGCCAAGCTTCCTTTTTCTCCTCTTCAAGGGCAAATGGTGAGCCTGGAATATCTTGTACCCGAAAGCAAAGGAGTGTTCAAAGTTATTGGAGACACACCAAGGCACACAGGAGCTGGCTCAGAGCACCTCCCACTGTTCAAATTTGGGGCAATTTAAACATCAAAATGAATAATGATGATAAAGGATTGCTATACATTAAATAAATGAAAGAATCCATAGTGCATAGTGATACTCAACCTCCCTCCCCACCCAAAAAAGAGAAAGAATGGAGAGAGCTCGGCTATACAAAAGGTTTTCAGCTTAATAAATGAAGAAGAAATTAGAAAATCACCGTTTGGCAACCATCATGATAAAAACTGATTCATCATCAATAATTTAGCATCATTAATGGACGCGAAAACCATTGGGTGAAAAGTTGTTGGGGAACAGAATATTCATATAAAGTATCTCCCCAGAAATTACTTATTAAAAAGGAAAAGGTGTCTTTACAATGGAGGCCTGGTGGACACCACCCTAACCAAGTTGTGGAAGAAAACAGTTGAGTCCTGTGTGTCTCCTTTACTACTCACACAGAACACCTCCCTTCTGACACTTTTGGTCACCAACTGCGTGGGGCTTTTCCCCATACCAAACAGTTCTCTGCCACACCAGCTGGGTGTCCTATAATTTAACTCAATTCTAACACTATCTACCTGGAGAGAGTGTCAGATTCTCACAAGTTAAGGACAAGATTGCCCTTGCTCCACGTCAGATGCCAAGAGCAAGCCATAGGTCCCTAGGTTAGTCACAACCTCTGTCCAATTTGGCTACAAATTGAGATTCCCATGACCCCCCTCCTCAGGTTTGATTAATTTGCTAGAACAGCTCACAGAACTAAGGGAAAGACTTACCTTTACCAGTTTATTACAAGATATGATCATTGACAAAGATAAGGAGATACTTTGGGCAGGATCTGGGAGGGTCCGCAACTACAAGAGTGTCTGTTCCCATGGCATTGGGGCGTGTCACCCTCCTGTGTGGCTGAGTTCACCAGCCCGGAAGTTGAATCTGTATTTCTGGGATTTTACAGAGGCTTCATCACATGAGCAGGATCATTCATCAACCCCATATTCAGCCCTTCTCCCTATTCAAGAGAATGGGCAGTGGGACTAAAAATTTTGAGCTTCTGATCGAGGCTTGGTGTTTCCAGTGACCAGTCCATACCCAGGAGTCACCCAGGAGCCACCCAGGAACCACCCAGAGTTGTATCATTAGAACAGAACACACTCATATCACCCAGAAAATTACAAGGAATTCAGGAGCCCTGTGCCAGGACCCAGGGTCATAGACTAGATGTTAGGATAGGAGTGGCTCCTAGAGTTCTTATCAGTTAGGAACTTCCAAGGAATTCAGGAGCCTGGGGCAGGGGGTGTGGAGACAAATATATACTTTCTATTATCTCATGCAAATGACCAAATTTAGGTTTGCCAATAATAGGACAAGCTGACAATATGTGATTTCAGATATGATGCACTAGAAAGACAAGGCATCATCTACATAGAATTTTTTGCTAAAAAACGTATAACCTGATTGAATGAGGAGCCATTTGACAAACTCAAGTTGCAAAACATTTTACAAAACAATTGGCCTGGACTCTTTAAAAATGACAATGCCATACGAGACAAAAAAAAAATGGGGGAAATTGTTCCAGGTTAATGGACACTAGAGAGACAGAAATTAAATGCTTCCTATACTGCTGGATGAAAACTAAAAAGCTATAAAAAACACAGGCCAATCAAATAAATTTAAACATGAACTGTTTTTACGTATTATTGTATCAATCTTATATTTACTGAGCGTGACAATAACGTCATGATTGTGTAGAAAAGTGTCTTTGTTCCTAGGAGTTACCTGCTAAAGATTTTAGGAGTAAACAGTCATCATAACAGCAACTTTCAGATGACTGAGGGGGAAAAAAGGTGTGTGTATGTGTTTGTACAGACAGTACACAGAGATAAAGCAACTGTGGCAAAATTAGCAAATCTAGATGAAGGATCTATGGTTGCTTATTGTACTGTTCTTTCAATTTTTCTCATTATCTGAATTTCTTCAACATATAAAGCTGAGGTGAAAATGGAGGCAAAATAATGCCAATCTCCAAAGAGCAATTTAATGAGATAACATTAATAATGAGTCTGACACACAGTAGATGCTCAGTAAAACATAGCTCATAGTGGGTGATAATAGTTACCTAAGATCAAATGAATAAGTTTTTGTAAAGCATCATTTATTATTCATTCAATAAACATACAATCAGCAGCACCTCATATATGCAAGGTCTGTGCCAAAAGCTATGGACAAAGGGGGGAGAAAGATACGTTCTCTTCTTACAGGAAGCTCATAAGAAGATGTATGAGCTGATGATTACAACATAGACAAATGCCAAAAAAGGGATAGTAAGACTTGGCAAAGGAGAGTGACTGATTGCATCAGGTTAAGGCCAAGAACTTGGGGCCAGTTGTCCAATTCCTGTTTGTAGTGGTACAGCAGCCAGCAGGTTGCATCTGAATTTCTGGGTGCACCAACAAAATCCCGGATACACCAGGTCACCTCAGAAGTACTGAGTTTCTACTTCTAGAATGTCTAGACTGAAGCTGGGAGTGACCCCTCTGTGATGCCAGAGCCAGAATTCCTGAGCTGGAAACGCCCTGCCCAGGCTCCAGCCAGCGACCCTCCTTTGGTTTCTCGAGGTTTAACCCTGGTCCATCCTGCTCAGGCCTTACCAGGGCTTCCCTCATCTGTGACCAAGGCTCATTGTCCCCATCCCCCAGATCTCTACCTCAGAGGCCTTTCCAGAACATTCCCAAGGCCTCTGGGGTGTTTTTCCTCAAAGCTCTCCATCAGTTGTAAATAACTTATTGTTGCTAAATTATCTGTGCTGTGTCCAAAGTCCTCATTACGCTGTAAATCCAGGAGGGCAGAGGCTGCCTCATATCTACCTTAGTTTCCCCAGCACCTGCAGGGTGCCCAGCACACACAGCTACGAGATAAAAGTTGCTGAATGAACTGGAGAATCCAGGAAATCTTTGTGGGTTCTCAGAGAAGGGAATGCCATTTTTTTTTAGTCTAATAAGTGGCCCTGTGCCAGGCAGTCTCCATTCACCATCTATTAATTCCTTAAACACATTCTGAGACAGGGGTATCCTCAGCCCCATTTTACAAATGAGAAGATAAGGATTTGAGCTGTTACATATCTTGCCAAAGGACTGATCAATGCCAGCAGTGCCAGAATTCAAATCCTAGGTGGTTTCAAAACCTGGGCTCTTCCTCCTCTGAGGAAAAGTGATTGATTGACACCCTTACAGCGCCCCTCATACCTGCATCTGTGTCTGGCGCTTTTCCACACAACTTTTGGCTGCATCGCTGACAATCAGTCATAAAGACCGTGATGGCAGCCGTAACAACTGTGCCAACATTGATGACAAAGCCTTTGAACAAGCCACATTCACAGCATTATCTTTTATAATCCTATAACTGGTCTAACAGTTGGTGAATGCCTAAGTAATTTCTCATATGTTTTTATTTTGGTATCTTGTATAAATTCTCCTTTTGTCTTTCCAACTCATAGTGGGTTGTTGTTTTGTTTTTGTTTTTGTTTTTTGCCATATATACATTTTATCCAAATTTGTCAAATTTGTTAAACTTTCATGATTTGTTTTATAAATCATAGAATGGACTACGTACTCATGTAGTCCATTTATTTATTTTACACTTTTTAAAATATTTAAGTGTTTGGTCCACTGGTGATGAAGTAGAATTTTTTTTTTTTAAGCGAGCTAGCTGATTCTATCATCTCTAGTGACTGACATTTATTCTGATTGGTTCCCAACCCCTCCGACTGGTATTCAGAATGAAAGCAAGCTGGTGGCAGAGGGCCTCAAGGAAAGACTCCACTTATTCAGAAAGAAGTTAGAACACCCTGAAGAGAGTCCCGGAGCTGCCCCTAACTCACAGAATGGCCTTGGTCAGGTCCCTTCCCCAAATCGGCACTTTGCTCCCAGTTTATAGCTCTACCCTGCGGGGCATGAGGCAAAGCAACCTCTGGCACTGTAATTATCCTCCTAAGAGAGTCCTGAAGAACTCTTGCAGTAAAAAGAAATCTCTTTTTCACCTGCCTCGCAAATATTAAAAACACTGATATTACTCATTGTTGGCAAAGATGTAGGAAAATAAACTTTCCTAAGCTGGCTGCTGATGGGAGTGTATATTGATTCCACTTTTTGAAGGGCAATTTGGTCACACCAATGTAAAATGCACACATTCTTGGAGCCAGCTATTCCACTTCGAGGAATTCAGAGAAGTGGAAAATGATATAAGGATATTCACTGAAATAGTCGTCATAGAAAAAATTGGAAACAACCCAATGTCCATCAATTGAAAGATGATACATAAACAATGACATAAAGCAGTAGTTAGGGCTTTGAATTCTGGCTTCTCCACTTCCTAGCTATGTGGTAATGGGCAAGTTAGTTAACCTCTGTGTGTTTTTTCATCAGTAAAAACGGAATGATAAGCTTTGCGCAGTGGCAGTATCATAGCTAATGAGGTTTATCCGAGGCACGATTATTGCTAATTGAAAAACAGAATGATAATAGGGTCTACCTCATAGTCTCGTTATGAGGATTAAATGGGATAATATTCATCAATTACAACAGTATCTGACACACAGTAAGCAACCCCAAAATAATAGCTATTATAGCCTATATACATTGTGAGAGTGTGTTAAATGTCCTTTTGATGAATGTGGGTGTTATCTTTGGGGGTTATGTGATTCTAGAGGGGCCTGAGTCTTTCACTGTCTTTGACTCAGCTATTTCACAATTCTGCAAACTATAGAAAAATGAGAATAATGCAAATTATTCTTGCCCATAGAAATACAAATTGATTTTGTCCCATAAATGTACAATTTCAGAGATGATTCCAAGCATCAGTTTACTGTGCTAAAGAGAATAATAAAATTTACATCTACTTGAAAATGTATTTCTGCAACCCTGATTGTGCCTATGTATCTGTGTATGTTAGTCAGATTCTCCTTTGAATCAGTTTTAACATATTACTGGTTCCTTCTGCTAAAGACTAACTAGACCTTTAAGAAAACAACAGTCTCCCCAGAGTGTCTATGAGAGGCGCGAGGGCTTATGGATGTTCTCGCACTCTGTGGAATCTGAATCTTGAGAACCCTACAGGCTGGAACCCTACAGGCTAGAACCCTACAGGCTGGAACCGTACAGGCTGGAACTCTACAGACCAGAACCCTTCAGGAAGACCTCTATGTTTATAATAGAGCTCTATGGTTCCAACTTCTTTTTCTCTTCTATAAATACTCCCACCATGTTGGCATGCAGGTCAGAGTGTGTATATGGCTTGCCATGTCTTCATGCTCTGGGTTGCAGCCCTTTCTTTTTCCAGAAAAAAATCCTTTTTGGTGATGAGACATCTAATCAGTAGTATTTTCTGTGAAGGGTCTCCAATGCTCGGCCAAGGAGATTGGCCCAAGAGAAACAGGTATGTTTGAACAAAACTGGCCAGGCCCAAGGTAGGGGTGGCTGGGCTGGAAAAGGGGGCCACTTTTACAATCTCACCCCTACCAGACCTTTCATGGACTGCCTGGGCCAAGCTGCCTGCCAGATAATTGCATTTAAGAGGAAAACTGGCTGCTGATTTTTTTGTTTGTTTGTTTGTTTGATTTGTTTGTTTGCTTTATTTGAGGAAGAAGTATCAGGGGACTTTTGTTATGCAAAGAGAGATGAAACCCTCCTTGAAATGCAGACTATGGGACAATAAGGCAGCCTGAAAGAAAGGCTGCGCCCCTGGTGGGTATGGAGCCCTCAGACCTTAACTGCCTTTTCTTGAAGCCAGAGCTGGGCTGCATCAAGGGGCCTCTCTCAGAGTCCTGCCAGGAACTGAGGAGAGAGGTGGCCCCTCAGGCCTGAAGAGGCCAGACCAGGCAGTAGATCCTGGCATCCTGGCTTAAGTTCCTCCTGGTTACAATTCCCCAGCCTGGAGGCCCCTCACAATTTTTACCTTTTTAATGAATGAACCAAACTATTGCTGACTTTATATTTTTCTGTAAATCTACTCACTTTTTAACAACTTAAATATATTTTTATAGAGCATTTATATGGCTATCTCAATGGGAAACTAACGTTGTTTCCATAAAAATAAATATAAGGAAAACCAAACAATGTCATTAAACTCGAGCTACATTCTGTTGCCTGTTCTTTCTTTGTTAGAAAGGGAGATTGGCACATATTAGAGAACTTTCCAAAGGGTATTAGAAACAACCCGAGGCTTTCTTTGATTTAATCAGAAGGAATGGAAGATAACTGAAAAAAAGAATACTATCTCACTGTGTGGTTCAGTTACTTTAATGCTTTTGTGTGAAACAGCTTAAATGAGCTGTGGTTCCACCACTGATACTAGCCAAGCTTTGAGCCTTGCTCTCCCATGTGTTAGCTGAGTTACCTTGGAAAAGATTCCTCAACCTCTTTGAGCTTCTGAGTTCTCCCCTGCTAAATGGATAAGTTGACAGAGCCTAACCCCTAGGCTTCTCTGACAGGTAATAACGATGAGGATGAGGATGATAATGATGCTAATGTTGCCAGCGGAAATCAGGCTCTTTTAGGGACTGGGAGGAAAGCATATCAAAGACCCGTGCACGGGAGATTGTGATATGGCAAGGTTTACTTGGGTAGAAGTCTGTCCCTGGATTTCCAATTTCCCATCTCCCTCCATCCCGCCATGGCAAAAGTCCAACCATGTCTTCAGGAAGGCCAAAACAAAGGCCAAACTCCAGAGTTTCTGCTTCATATTAAAGCTTAGTGCTTGGGAGCCCGCACTGCCTGTGGTGGGCACCAGTAGCTGCTAGACCCACATGGCCACGTACTCCTGGAACAGCGAGCACTCCCTGGGGATTATATATCTCAGGCTTGGAAAAGACCAGAAGCTTTTTCAAAATAGCTAATTAACTTCGCAAGCTTTTGCGGGCTTTGGATAGGTCCACACCTCCTAGTTAGACCGACAGGCCTCTAAGCTCAAGCACTTCCACCTGGGCCCCCCAACAATCCAGTACTGAAGGGAGGAAGGGAGGAGTGTTAATTCCCTTGGTGGAGCAATGCTATGATTCCCTGAGGTGTGAAGCTGCAGCAGCCCAGTGAGGGAAACAGGCTTATGCTTCCCAGTTTATTAAACTAAACGTCTAATTCCCTTTGCTCCTCCTCCTTATTAATAATTAGGTGACTACCTGTCGTAACACTATAAGGAAGGCTGTGGTAAAATCCCTTAAGCTGAACCATCTGGTATTGGGTGTTCTTTTGGAGAACTGAGAGAAGACTCTGGGCCTTTGCTTGACTGGATAAAGAGGAACAGAGAGAGCAGCAGCAGACAGACCAGTAGAAGAGCTGCTTGGACAATAAATGTTAGCTTCCCTCAGGGTGGATTTGTGGAAAATGGAAGCATTCCCCAGATTCTCAGAAATATCAAAGAAGTAAAACTGAATAAAGATGTTGGACTTCCTGTTGACAATACTGGTTTGAATATTATAGTAAAAAGTGTTAAATAAAAATTCAACTGAGTAAATTTAAAGATCTACATGACTCTATTCAAGGATTCGTGAGTCGAACAGCATCCCATTTAGCAAATAGAAAGGAGCTCCAAAGAGCTGCAGAAAAAGTAGTGTTTTTACAGGCAGAAAGAGGGTGGGAAAAGGAAATCATAAACAAAAGAAAAGATTATTTCAGGCAAGATAAAAGGGGTCTATCAGATGAATTACCTCACTAGTGCTCATGAGGAAATTCCAAACTGACCAGTTAAAATTATATTTCTGGGGGAGGTTGAAACTACAATTAGGTTAGGTATTAAATCTTAGTTTGGTGATGTGGACTTAGCACAAGTGACTCCATTTAGGCCTGTTGTCTCCTTTTAAAGAAGGATAACCTCTAAGTGACAATTTGAGGACTGGAGGAGATGAGTATTATAGTTATTGCCCTCCATTTTTCATACAAGAAAAGTGAGGCTCATTCTTTTCAATATTTAAACAAATGTTCTGAACATGCTTAGCTGTAGCCAAACTCTTTGTCTGAGCAGAGGATGGGCAAATATATACATTAAAAAACAATAAAAAAGATGAGGAGGAGGATTTTCAAGACAGTATGGACAATATAATCTTATGTATGTCAAAGAAAAAACCATCAAAGTTATATCTTTATGCATGTGCTCCCATATCTGCAAAGGATTAGAAATAGATCTTGTGGCAGTATTAATAGCTGGGTGGAGTGGGATGGGGAGAAAAGGACTTTAGCTTTACCTGTCTTGTTTGAGGTAATAATAATAACAAATTTCTATATCCTTTATTAAAAAATTTTTAAGAAATGACTGTTATGGACTAAATAGTACCACCCCAAAATTCCTATGTTGAAGTCCTACTCCCAGTACCTCAGAATGTGACTGTATATGGAGACAGAATCTTTAAAGAGGTAATTCAGCTAAAATGAGGTCATTAGGATGGGCCCCACTCTCATATGACTGGTGTCCTTAGAAGAAGAAGAAATGTAGAAATGTAGGACACACACTGAGAGAAGACCACGTGCAAACATCCGTCTATAAGCCAAGGAGAGAGTCTTCAGAGGAAACCAAACCTGTAATACTTTGATCTCAGACTTCTAGTCTCCAGAACTATGAGAAAATAAATTTCTGTTGGTTAAGCTACCCCGTCTGTGACATTTGTTATGGCAGTTCTTAAAAGAAAAAAAAAAAAATCAATGACACTTGTTAAAGATGGCGAGGCAGACTTGATTCAGGACCACAGTGATGGGTATAGGGACTACAAGGGGATTTTACAATGGGGGAGAAAGATCAGGCTCAACTCCAAATACAGCACGGGCAGTGGGAGTTACAGCCAGGGTGCAGGGTGGGGTCAGTGGATGGAAAATTACTAAAAGGAAACATCAAGGGTAAGAGGGAGCTCTTGCTAAATTGACCTAATAGGGTTTTGCTGAGGACAGACATCACTTGAGAAATGGGAGAGGATGAAGAATCTGATTAGATATTGAAGGTGATCAGATATCAAGGGTCAGGGTTTTGGGTTAAACTGACTTAGCAGAGTTCTTGCCAAAACTAGTTTTTTCAAGGAAGTGCATAGATATGGCTAGAAGAAGATTCAAGGAGTGGACTAACGTTTGCTCAAGCAAAGAATCTTTGTCATAGTCCTGGTAAACACAATGACTTAAGGTAAAGCTCCTCACTTCCAGGAGCTCCTAGCCTGTGAGAGAAGCAGTGAATGGTACAACCTCACTGTGATACCCAGAAAACCACAAGTGTTGCAAAATGCAGACACGAGGTACTTGTGGAGCCTGGAGTGGGAGGCACTATGATGCCTGTCAGGGTTCATAGAGGAAGTGGCTTTTGAGCTGGGCCTGGAGTGGGCAGCAGAGAAAATGGGGCGGGGGGGGGCGGGTTGTTGGGGGTGGAGAGTGGAGGAGATGGGGACTGTTTCTCAAGAAAACACGTAAGCCTGGCAGCGAGAATCTGTTTCGGGCCAGGTTAAGACAGGGGACCTACACCTGAGCACAGGCTCCACAAGGGGATGGGGGAGGGGCAACAAATGTAGCTAGAAGTATTTTTTGTCAACTATTGCTACCAGCTATGGCCATCATGGAGG